ACACGCGATCTCTCACTGTACGGTCGTTCAATGCTGGCGAAGACAGTGAGTGTCTCTCAATTGATTTATGCGGCATCAATGTTAACTGTCCCTGAACCTGTGATCCAGAAATCGCAAGCTGAACTTTTCGCTTTGTTGTGGAGGAACAAAAGGGATAAAATAAAGAGACAGGTTATTTATCATCCAATATCCGACGGAGGTTACAATTTTATGAACTTCCGAACAATGGTCAAATCGTTACGGTTGAGTTGGATTGGCAGACCGCTAGATGGCACACACGCCAACTGGAAGGCTATCCCTAGTTATTTTTTTAAATAAATATGGCGGTCTAACCTTGTTATTAAAGTGCACCTACGAAGTTAATCTATTCGAAGCGAATTTTCCCCTATTTTATCGCGAACTACCGGGATATTTTCAAGAATTGAGCGGTAGATACGGAGGAGAACCAAGACGGAAATTTATATTAGGACTATGAAACAGCAAGGACATGACAACTGATCAAAAAAAACTGTTTTGGAAAACTTGGTACGAGCTAGCTTGGAATTTTTTTGTGCACGATCTCCTAAGCTAAGTAAAGACGGAAAATTCTTATCTCTTGACGAATTACATGAAAAATTTGGATTGAAAAAAATTACCGGCAATACTTTAAAATTATCGCTGCCATACCACGTTCGCTGACGCAAACTGCTCTGCAAACCCCAATCTCCAGTGAATGCCTTTTTCAACTCCTGATCTACTCTACTTATCCGAAGACAGTACTCTAACCTTGTCTAAAATGCGCTGTAAATATTATTACAAACTATTTAATGAGTGCTCTGTGTTGGAACCTATCAAAAAAAAAANACCATTGCAATTTCTGTTCTAGGACAGATTCTATAATGCATACATTTCTCGAGTGTGATGTCTCTATTTCAGTATTTTCAAGTACAATAAAGCTGGTTTAACTGGATATTCAACAATTTAAATGTGAGTCTTTCTGCTGAACAGATCATTTTTATTCAACTCGACTGATGGAATAGCTTCGTTGACCTCCATCCAAAAGCGCACACTAGTTCTTCTCTTGCTTCTCGTGAAGCGCTATGTGTATTCGTGTAGGGTTTTTTTTTTCTAAGAATCCCAATATTTCTAAACTTCAAACCAAATTAAACGCCAAATGCAATAGAAAATAGAGCATTGTTCACTGACTTGATTTTGCAATTTTCCCCCTCAATATAGCTTGGACTGTAGTAATGCAATAAGGCAAATGCACATTACGTCAAAGGTGTAAATGTTTCAAGTAGCATAAGTAATCGAATTATACTGCAAGTGGCGTTAGTATTCGTATTGCGGTGTACGTAGTGGTAATTAGTATTGTAAGCAATATGAGTTACCATACTGTACTGTAAGTAGTGTAAGCAATAGTATTGTTAGTAGCGTAAATGATCGTATTGTATTGTAATTAGTGTATGTACAGCATTGTAAGTAACTTA